CAATGGCAACGGCTAGCAAGAAGAAGACGACCGCCACCAAAGTGGTCATGGCGAGAGTGAAGCGGGCGTCAGCATCTCTCATGCGGGCAACGTCGTGCCGCCGACCATCAGAAGAACGAGCGGAGAATCCACCGTCACATCGACGACACCAGCGACATAGTAGGGTCGCAGCAGCCTACCCGGGGTGTACTTCAGTTCACCGCGTGGGTGTACTTCCCTCTCGGCAGGTTTACCTAAACCTAACTTAAACCTAACCTAAACTCAGGCTGCGCCGTTCACAGGGGGGTAGTACCATATTGACGACGGTGACAACATCCACGACGAAGACAGGACATCCCCCTACCACCAGGAAGAAGCTCCTGGGATATTCGACGGCGGCCACCAAGACAAGAGGCACAGGGATGACGACACGGGCGTCGACAGTGCGCATGCGTGCTAACTCGTGCCTGCCGATAACACCGATTTCGAATTTAAATTGTAGGAGTGTCACGAGAACCTCGCCGACGACAACGAAAGCGAAATCGCGGCCCGCTGCTTCAACACGCGCAGGACGCACAACACAGTTCAGGACAACCAGAATATCTCCGGGTGTATTGTAGACCACCACCGCTGCTGCGAATACCCTCTGGAAACGCGCCGCACTGCCGGCAAAGGATAAGTCTTCCCTAGGACCGAGAACATCATCATGCTCTGTTTCCAGCCAGTCACTGTGGAGAGGAGCATCATCGGACACCGGATTTCACCGCAGGGCGTGCGGACCCCACTGGCGGCCGGGACATCACTGAGTACGTCATCAACCACTGCGAGGACTCTTCCCAAGACCCATCGTCAGTCGGCTCGTCTCGCAGACGACAATATTTGTAGAGGCCTTGAAGAGAGCGGCACTCACCACAATCGTTACTTCACTGTGTTCCACCCTGGCTGTCGCTCTCACGACGGCAACCACTACGACGAGCGGCAAGCCGATCGCCTATCCTGCCGTCGTTCCATCGAGCTTCGGGCTGGTCCCGGTGATGATGTTCTTACTGCCTCCAATCAATATCGTCGCCGATCGTCACCGCAGCAACACCGCTGAGGCCACGTTTAGCACGACCGAACGGGACCCTCCTCCATCGAGGAGGAGCCTGCTACCCCGACCTGCTCCCGACCTCGGAGCAGTCCGCGTCGACCAGCAGCACAGCGTCGCGTCATCAGGAGGAGACCCGCAACCCCAGCCCCGGAAGACAAGAAGACAACGACAGTTCCGTCGTCCACAATCGACGCCGGAGGGCCGAACACTAGCAGCGGCAGCGGCAAAAGCAACAACTACAACAGAAGCAGCAGGAACAGCGGCGTCAACGACAGCCTCAGCAGCAGCAACAACAGCAGCAACAACA